ACAAGGGGGAAAATGCCCTGGATTGCTCTAAACCTGTTTTATGGTGTAACTTTTTTTTACAGCACAGTATTTCCTTCTGTAGTGTTAGCTCCATGTAGCCTGGTGGTCTTTAGGTGCTTCAGGCGAATATCAACTATTTTGATTTTCTAAACCAGACACCGAGAAAATTTAGAGCAGATGTTCAAGCCTCCTCCACATGGGCTCCCACGTCCTGGCCCAGCCCTGCTCTAGGGCAGTATCTTGAGGAGCACCCAGTTCGAGTGGAAGCTTTCTTGCCAAGACAGTGGCAGATATAGCAGGACCTCGGGTCACTCTGGTGCCTGCCAGGGTCAATTGTTTAATATTGCACTGTCTGTCTGATATATGACTAGGAGGATCTGTCAGAGGGCATTTATCCTACCTTACCAGTGAATGCAATAAAGCCCATGTGAGTCATGGTTTGTAGCACTTGAGTTGACAAAATGTCCATGAGGCTGCGTGACCTTCTACCCATATGGTACTTACATGATTATTTATAGTTTACGTGTGACTCTCATCACTTACTTGCTCATCCAAAATGTATTCAGCACCTGCCACTTGCCAGGCGCTGTGTTAAAAGCTGCAGATATGAAAATAATCAAAGACACTCTCAGCTCTTAATAGCGCAGGCTCTAAAGAGGGAGGATCATGAGTTCAAGCCCAGTCTGGGGAACTTAGGGATTCAGTAAGACCCTGCATCAATCAATCATCAGTCAATCAATCAGTCAGTCAGTGGCTGGAGATGTAGCTCAGGGTAAGGACTGTGGGTCCTCTTAGATTCAATTCTTAATAAGACAAGAAAATAAGATATAACATAAAATTTAAAAATAAAAGCCTGAAGTCTAGAAGGGAAGATGGCCCAGTGTGACAACAGAAAGACAGCAGGGAGAGGTATCACAGGAGAAAGTGAGTAACTGCTTTTTGGGGTCACAAAGGACTTCTTAGAAGAAAGAAGAGTGTGTGGGATCCTGTCACTCTCTGTCAGTGCCCCTGGGGGCAGTCCAGCTTGTGAAGCCCTTAGGAATGAGTCCTGACCACTGAGACTGGACGGGAAAGGAAAAGAACCCTCACCAGCAGAAAGGGGCTGGACGCCCGGTGTGGACAGATGATAGCAGAGTTTTACCTCTTGAGTTCCCAACAGGATCTATATTCCTTGAGCTGGAAGCCTCGCCCTGAATTGGTCCTGACCCCCTTCCCATCTCAACAGGAAACAGGGTCCCACAGTGCACCCTCGCTGCCCAGTCAGCTCATACAGTCAGCTGCAGTGTGTGACCCTGGGAAGCAGCTGCCAGCACAGAATTTCCCTATGAAGAGACTGAGGGGCTAGCCTTGGGTCCACCACCTTTGTCCTGTGTGCGTCTTTTCATCAGGAGCTGCCCTCCTTGTCTCCCTGACGGAGGGGCTGTCCTGCGGGCCAGCAGGGTCTACTTCGTGGTCTGTCCAGGTTCCTCATCAGCTGCTGTAGCCAACCGGGCTGCATAGTGATTCATATCGCTTAGAGCTAAGACATCTTTCAACACATGGGAACTGCTAATGTGGGGAGCATCAGACAATGTACTCGCCATTAATTAAAGTGACAGGGAGCTGTTCAGCTCTCAGCTGCAAACTTCCCTGTTAACAGACGATTAGGTATTTGGAGTTGTCATACCTGGACTCAAGGGAGACTGGGAACAGAGACAGAACTTGAAACAGGGATGACCCTGGGGAGCAGGGAGTCCTTTGGAAACAATGCTCCAAGCTGGCATAGGCCAGGGTCAGATGCAGTGTCGCAATGGTACTTCTATAGCTCCTTTATAAAAGGAGAGAGCAGATGGCTAACCAGGGATTGGGGAAATGGAAGTCTGATCACAGATTGCTTTGTGTTATTTGAGTCACTTGGGGCAATCTGCTGTGTGTGCCTCAGTTTCCTGGTCTGTGAAATGAGTTGGCTTACATCATCTTGGGAGGCTCACTCAGGGTGTCATGTGTTCAGAGCTTCATCTGCTCTCTCATACATAAATGAGGGATGGACTTGATCTCTAGGTCCCTTCCAGCTCTGCTATCCAACAGCTGCTTTGAAAAGTTATGATACAAATACTGGTTATTGTTACTTTTATCATTATTGATATTATCCCTACTGGTAAACTAAATGTTTTGCTAAGGTAGTTAACAACCTGCTCTTCTGTACTGGCCAACCCTGAGTGAGCAGCAGGGAACAGAATGATCCAGAATTTAGGGTGGCTCAAGACACCTTCTCTGGGGAGGAAAGGTAAGAACACTTGCATGGATAGGATGACTCCATAGCAAAGTGAATCATGAAGGAAATTGCCACGTTCTCCTGTCAACAAATGATTAAAACTCATCAGAAAGAAAATAAATAAAAAAAAATTTTTTTTTTGCTAAGAAATAAGTATATAAGGATTATAGTAAAAAAGCTAACCTGGCTTTTTGCTGGAACAATAAAAAAATGTATCCTCTAAGTGAGGACTGTGGAAGGGTACAAAGAGGAGGGAGACTGGTCCCTTGCAGTCACACTGGCCAGCAGGACTTCTGAGCGGGAAGCACCAGAGCAAAGTTAGACAAAGACATGAAGCAAACTCTGAGAGCTTGAGGGCTGCTCCATGCTTAGTGGGCAGAGAGTGGCAGGGAGTAGTCTGTGGGGGTTGGAACAGAGATGTTGGAAACCAAATTCACGGGCTGCGAGGGTTTGAATGCCCCCCACCAACTCATTTGTTGCCATGTTGAGGTGTTGAGAGGGGAGAAGATTCATCTGACACAGTGTTAGAGGTGGGGCTTTGAGAGGGGGTTAATATTAAGCGAGCCCATGGTGGGGAGGCTTTAACTCATTGGCACTGTGTCTGTACAAGACGGGAGGAGAGACCTGAGCCACGAGCCAGCCTTCTCACATGACACCTATACCACCTGGGCCTTTGCTTGAGTCCCTACCAACAAAAGGCCCTCACCAGAGGAGGCTGCTTAACCTGGAATTTTCCAGACTGAGCGAATCCCTGTTCTTTATAAATTACTCAGACTGTGGTACTGAGTTATAGCAAGAGCAAGCAGACATGGACATGGAACTTGAGGTTCAGGAACACACAGGCAGCAGCCCGATGCAGCCTTGCTGGTCACAATAGAAACAGCAGCCCAGGGCAGCAGACGAAGGAGGAGGCCCAGGGCTGTGCTTCTTAGGCACCCCCAGAACAGAGCCCTCATAGCTTTCTTAAAATAGGGAGCTTATTCCCTGTGATGACACCTCTATAGTGTCCACTTCATATTCAGGAACTTGGCAAATTGAGGGCTCCTAATCTATCAAAAAAAGAGGCATCTGACCTATGGAATTCTTTACCAGTGATGGGAATGGCCTGGTTGGTCTTCGAGGTTTTCTCCTGTGATAGACAGGATGAGCAGGGCTGGCTGAGAAACACGAGCTTAAAGGCCAGTTGGCCTAACCGTTGAGTCTTGGGACAGGTCCCAAATTCTCAGGGGCTCATGGGATCAGTGTGCTTCTGGATCAAGAGGAAGGAATCTAGAGGAAGAGCTTTGTCAGCTGAGTTTGTCACTGGAGATGGAAAAATGCTTCCGATACAGCTTCTCCACTTACTGGCTCCATGAACTGCGTTTGCTTGTTTGTAAACGGGAGATGATTTATAGCAGCACTTGGCGCACAGGGTCACTTTGAGGATGAAATGGGGCGCGGTGTGCAGTGTTTATGTCGGTGCTGTGCTTGCAGGGCAAGGAATCCTTATTCGCTCCTCTTTATCCAGTGGTTCGGTTAAGCTACAAAGCTTGGTCATAAGGAGACTTTGAAGCCTTGGCAAAAAGTCTCTATTCTCAGCACCCCGGTGACTGTCCCTTCTGAAGAGGTTTTAAGCAGCCCTAGGTCAGCTGTTGTGCCCAGCAATTTCCAAGGCATGACACATCTTTACAGAGACATTTCAAACCTGTAGTGAGCTGCTACAGACGGCAGCCTCTCTTGACCTCCGATTTCCAGGTCTCTGATGCAGGTAAATGAGAAGCGCTGACCACGGCTGTGAGCCTCTCAGAGACACCTCAGGGATCTGCCTCTGGAAGTGGCTCTGGTCTCCCATCCAAGTGAAGGTGGCCTCCCTGGCCAAGTGTCTGTGTCACTGAGGACAGAAGGTGTTGTGGTTATATCTGGATGTCCCCCAAGAGCTGTGTGCACTCGGAGGCTGGGCCGCTGAAAGGTGACATGGGTGCTGTAGCTGAAGGTGGTGTTAGGAGGTGGGACCCGGTCAGAAAGGTGGTCCCTGGGGCGTGACCTGGTAGCAGTATCTCCTGGGTTCTTCCCTTCACTCTCTGCTTCCTGGCTGCTGTGATGGGAGGCCCTTGCATCACACTGTGTCCATCTGGCTGTGGACTGGAACCTACCTGCCAGCCAGAGCTCCATGGTGGGGATCGGTGGCGTGCATGTTGTTGCCGGGCCTGCCCTGAGTCCTTCTTGTTGGATGGACCTGAGCTCTGAGCAGCACTCTGCATGGTCTCAGGGAACCTCAACTTACCCAGCATGGAAGCCTGGCTCCCCTCTCTTGGGAGGTTCTTTGGGACGAACTCTGCCCAGTGACACATTCTCCTGATTTTACCTCCCCAGTCCATTTCCTTCTCCTCTGCTCCTCAGGGTGGCCCACACCCCGAGTTCTGCTCACAGTTCTTTCTCTCCTCACCTTCTGTCCTCACAGCCTGCCGATGCCACCCCAGGGTCTGAGGTCACCCTGCCTGTGTCCTGAGCCATGTCCACATCTGCCATTTCCTACTCAGATAACTTCACGAGAGGCCACATCTGGGCCTCCCACCCAAAGTGCCCCAGACCAAACTATGTTTTTCCTACATTTTGGAAAACAACAACAAAAACCCACCTTTCTCCTCCTCTTATGTTCCCTAACATGATCTTGCTCAGCCTAAGACCATTTTTAAAATTTTTCATTTTACCAGTTGTCAGCTTAAAAAGAAAAGTCCCCTGACTAATTTCTTCACTAATCTTTCAGAGAAGAGGCCTCTGATTTACAGAATTCTTCACCAGTGAGGGGAAACAGTCTGCGTGTGCCTAAAGGCTTTCTCCTGCGGTGGACAGGATGCAGCAGGGCTGGCTGAGAAACAGGTGAGTTTAGAGGCCGCTTGGCCTAACTGTGGAATCCTGGGCGGCCCCGGACTCTCAGGGACTACACCAGGGTTAGCAAACAGATCTGTTCTCCTCTTTCCATTGCTCAGTAAACCCCCTCCAGTTTATAGGAGAAGGGCCAAACTCTCTAGCATGTCTGTCACATTTTGACCTTCATTTCCTTCTGTGCCAGTGACTCTCAGCCATTCTTTCCCCCAAACACACCTGAGGGGCCAGGAAAGCCTCATTTCTTTAGTTATCCCTACTGAGGAAGGTGAGGAAAACCTCCTCGGTGACATTTCAGTGTCTGGGCTGGAGGGAGGGAAGGGCCAACGTCCCTGCTGGTGTGCCCGGCAGACAAGCTCCTCCTGAGTGTGTGACATCCTCCCTCCTGTTTCTCCTCAATATCCTGCTCCATTCTGAATTCCTTCAGCTGCAGGACTCTGGTCATATTATTTTCTTGATTTGGGACTTTCTCTCGTCCAGCTCTGTTTGCTGCCGGATCTCAGGGGCTACGCTGAGACACACCTAAATTAAGTAACTCTCTGGAGAGTCACACAAGATCGTGTCTTAGGCTGGGGTCCTCTGGGACAGGGGCTCCCAACCTCTGACCTGTTAGGAACTGCGCTGCACAGCAGGAGATGAGCAGCAGCAAGCAGGCACAGCTTCCCTGGCTGTACGGCTCCGCATTGCTCCCCTCACAGTCTGGGCTCCGCCCCGTATCAGAGCAGCACCAGCAGGATTCATCTCGGAACTTGAACCCTTTTGCGAACTGTGCATGTGAGGGATTTAGGTTCCAAGAAGCTGATGCCTGAGGACTTGTGGTACAGCTAAGATGGTGATTTAGTGCTGGGGAATGCAATTATTATGTATCACAAGCATAAACTAATACAAAAGAGAAACACTCTTTCATTCTGGTCTGTGGAAAAATTATCTTCCGTGAAACTGGCCCCCAGTGCTGAAAGTGTTGGGGTCACTGTTCTAGATAGCAGTGCCTGTGGTCAAGATGAGCTGCTGCTGCTTTATGGGCAGGAGGAAGCCAGGGGAGGAAGGGGGGGGATGGGCAGAACTGGTGGAGGTAGAAGTGAGCTGGGTCACACCTGGGCCTTTGGCCTTGCTCCAGCTGATCACATGGTAGGCGAGGGAAACAAGGAGAGGCCACGGGAAGGAGAAGTGAAGGCCTTCACCTGCCTGACCCCTTGACTCTCCTTCCCTGGTCACCTGCCCCACACCAAATGGGTTGTGCTTTCCAGTTCCTTAGTGGTCACCTCAGGAGCCAGATTCAGTGCCTCACAGGGTAGCCTGCATCCGATTCTGTAAGGGGACGGCTTCTTACCCGGTTCGGGATGCTGGAGTTTCCTTAGAACTGGCTCCTCGGTTCTTTCCATCCTAAACAAAGAATTGGTTCAGACAAGTGCAAATAGTAGCAGGGTTTTACATTTATTAAGGAAAGGAAGAGAAACAGGCTCTGCAGCGTGAGTTTGGGGCAAGGAAACGCAGGAAAAGGAGTTCACCCTGCAGCATGAGAGGGGACTGCTGTGGAAAAACACAGTGGCCAAGAGCTCAGTGTTGATGCCCTTCTGTACCTCCTTCTCCCTAGGCTGACGTCAGGGCTAGGCTGTCCCATCTGAAAATGCTCACAAGAAATGCACTGCAGGGCTTTGGGAATTGCTCTGTGCATGTGTCCTGGGATTTTGCAATTAACAAGTCAGGCCCGCTTCCCCAGCCAGCTTTGCTACACCCTAATCTCCTGCCTCCAATGACTCAGGTGAATAGCGTGCAGTAAGTGTGGTGGGCATGATGTATATTCCTGGAGATTCCATTTGTACTGGCTGCTAAATAAAATCCCATAGATGAGAAAGCAAAAATATATACTAAATAGTAAGGTGGAACCCAGCCTCTGAAGAAAGGCAGTCTGCAGGGCCTGTCTCAGAATATGTACCCCCACAGAGGACTTCAGTCACGAGGGGTACACACAAGACTGTTCGCTTGTGTTTATGTGGAGTCGACACCAGAACATGCCCCCAGCTCTCTGTGCGGAATGGGTTTCTTCCTCCCAAAAGGGCTTGAGTATCTCTGGAGCTCAAAAATTGAAGGCATCTACAGAGAGACAGAGGACCCCCCCCACCCCAGAAGCCTGGGCTGTGACTGCAGTGTGTGGTTTGGGGACAGTCAGCACAGAGCCCAGGAGCAGACTGAGTATCCCTTAGTGAGTCCAGGAAGGCAGAGTCCTGGCGCTAGACCTCCAGCCTTAGGGACAATGGCCAGTGAAGTGAGGGCACTGGGCACAGGACATGTGCCCAGCAGACTGTCAGTTTTTCTACTCTATTGACAGGAGTACGTATCAAGATGTAGCCTGCAGGGAAAATCTGCAGTTTTTCTTTCTCATATCTGCCTGCTCTATTTTTATGACTACAATTAAAGTTTGAGATTTAGCCTCTCTCCTTCTAAGGCTATGTATATTAGTCATGGTCCTATGAACTGAAGATAATAAGAACTTTTAATGCCTCTGGCTATACTGTGCATATCTTAGGGTTTTCAAGATGAAAACAAGATTTGAACCCATCTAGTTTTGGAGCTATGAATGTAAGGCTGGAGCTGCTGCAGCCACCTTGCTACTAAGGATAAAGAATTTGTTTGAAGTATAGCTAACTGGCAGAAGCAACATGGACAAAAATCTAATGCCTTTGAGCTCTGTATTAAATCATGCCTGAGGTCAGATTTTCTTGTGGCTTTCTCAGTTTTATGAACTATTTTGCTTCAACCACTTGAGTTGGTTTTTATGTCATTTGCAGCAGTTTTAAGGACCACTTGCTCCATAGCTCATCTGGACCTGGTAAGTACTGTGCCTCTGTGACTCACTTTTGTCCATTTTGTTTCTGATTCCTATTGCTTCTCCCACAGGGACATGAAGATATCGATTTCATACACTCAGAGATTTTCCTATCTGAATAGCAATTTGGCTTTGTTTTGTTTCTACTGTGAAGAAGTAAATGTACTTTCTGATTTTATAACTTGGTCACTGGGAGCCTGGTTTCTCAGGGAATGTGCAAATTGGGTCTCTCGTTTAAAAATTGAAGTTTAGATTCCAGACTGCGGGGGACTGAGCAGAGTGATAAGTAGAGTCTCTGGGCCTTTTCCCTTGGAGAGCAACCTAGTCATTGTGCAACCGTGTGAGCATCAGAAGCACCATATTCCCTTGTCCTTCCAGTGACATCTGCAATGTCCCCTCCTCTCCCATTCACTCATTTGTTCATTCAGTGATTGCTTACCTAGCACTGGGTTCACATGGTGAAAAAGCTGAAGTTCCCGCCCTTATTGGACCTACGTCCTCATGTGGGGTCACGAGCAATAGCCAAGATAAATATGTGATGTAGAAATATGTGATCACTCTTTTTAGACAGGGTCGCAGGGCTGTGTCTCAGGGCTGAAGATCTGAAGAGAATGAGGACAGCAGCAGCACCTAGGTGGAAGGAGCAGCTGGTGCTAAGGCCCTGGGGAGGGAGTGGGCCTGGCAGCTGAAGGGGCAGTGAGGAGGTCAAAGGGCACACGGGCGCATAAGCCCCGGGTGAGGATGTGCAGGAAGAGTCTTAGCACAGGGACCTTTCCCCTCCTGCAAAGAGAGGACCGACCACATGACAAAACTCAAAGACCCATGTCCCTGGGGGCCCAAGAGTCTCTTTCTGGGAACTGAGAGTGCAGGGCTGTGCTTCCTTTATCCTGGAGACACAGGATTGTGGAGGGAAAGCTCGGGACCAGTGCTAGCAAGGGGCAGACCCTGAAGGTTTAGGGGTCAGAGGTTTGGAGGTCTTGGACCATGGCACAGAGCGCAGCAGCGATGAGTCATCTGGAGACCCTTGGTGGCAAGAATGGCCAAGAGCATCTAGATCAGCAGCTGGGAGGATGAGCAGCACCAGATGTGTGCCACTACCTGGGCCCGCACAGAGACAGTGGAGCAGAGAGTGTGAACGGAGCCCGGAGCAGGCTCAGAGACTGATTAGGGGTGGAAATTTTCCTCCATCCCTTTGAAGATTCTGAGGGACACATAAGGCACAAAGGACTGAGAGTCACCATTGTGGCAGTAGAAGACATTGCTCTAGTGACCACGCTACAAACTATTAAAGTGACTTTGCCTTGGGTAGGACCTATAGGTGTTCCGTTCTGTAACTGTTGTCCCCCTAGGTCCATCCTGTCCACAACAGCTATACCCCATCCCCTGCAGGTGTTAGTAGTGCTACGGTGGTCTCACTCTGGGTCCAAACCTTTTAGTTGTTTCTCTTTTTTGGCTGTGTTGTGTGTATATCCCAAACTGAGCAGGTCTCTTGCTGGGCCCTACTGGTCAGCTCTATGTTGTCACTCCTTACTTGCAAGTTTGCAGACAAAATGTTGTATTCCCTCAGTCTCTCTGTCCACAAATGTTTACAAAGATTAGGCTTTAATGTACACAGATTTTCTGCCTCAATTGTATAGCTTAATCAGTTTGGCTTGCTTTATTTCTTTTTTATGAGGTCTATTGTCTTCTGGTTACAAAAGAAATACATGTGCATTGTAGAAGGCAATTGATTTTTCTGGAGCTTTCATTTTGCATTTGCATTCCCTATGAATACTTAGCTGGGCAATTTGGGAGGCGCTGGAGGGGCGGCGGGCCTGCTTGAATGCAAATGCGACCCCAGCAGCCCTGCTGGTGAGGGGCTGGCGGAAGAGGCCTTGCAGCCCAGGGCTGCCTGGAAGGCTCTTTCTCACTGTGCAGACATTCTGCCCTTCTCCTTGTTTTTTGTTCCTCCCCTTCAAACAAGCTTTTAACAACAACAGCTGGAATTAAAAAGCATCCATTCATCAGAAAATACAGTGCAGCGGGCCTTAGCTGAGACTGGTTTCAAGCTTTCCTCACACGTGACGCATGTGATGTGGAGGGCTAGCTTGTTTGTGTAAAAGTGTGGAGTTCATCTCTGCGTGGGTTAGACGGGATTCTCCTTTAGGTTTCTCAATACTCAAGATATTAGATTTATATTCATTGGGTCAAAAGTGGGAAGAATTAGGTAATTAACCAAACCAATCGTGTGAGGCGCATGAAATTCTTGTACGTTCTTCCTCTTCCTGAACTCATGAAGTGCTGTGCATCATTAAAATGACAGGTTCTCATGAACACCTGGAGAAAGAGATAACATTTGTGGGCCATCCAGTCTGTGCCATCCATCTCCCGTAACTCCTCCTCTTCCCTAGAACTCCACATGGGAAGTTTTGTGCCTATTTTCTAGATGTCCCCATCGTATGAATGAAGAAAGTAGGACACAGAAAGGTGAAGGATTTGCCCAAGAATATTAAAGTTATTCACCAGAGCTGCTGTGACTTTGGCTAAGTTCTTAAATATTATTTTAGGGCTAAGGCTAAAAAAATTGCATCTTGAGTAGGGTAAATTAAATCATTACATTGGTTCATTCTCCAAAGGTGCTCATTCTCTGTCCAGGTTTTTTCAACTTTTTTTCAGCTCCATTTTTTCCTCTTAAGCCCTTGAGCAGCAGTCGCCCAGGAATTGACAAACTCCTCAGTGCAGGTCTGTGTGAACATAGACAGAGGAGCTCCAGGAAAACCTCCTGGCCAGGCTGACGGGGGTGACAGCTTGGTAATGGGTCTCAAGAGTATATATACAAATTAAGCACCTCTCATTCCTTTGTTGCAAAAACATCAATTAAGCTTGAATAATCCATAGGTTTTCCTATTTTAAATAGAAGAAAATCAACACAAATTGACTAGATTGTCTTTTCCTCTAGCTTTTAATCATTAATCCTCTTCAAACCTTTCCTGCCCTTATCCACTGCTCCTCTCTAAGGAAAAAAAAAAAAAAAAAAAAGAAAGAAAGATAAAGTTCAACATGCACACACTGCCATTTCTGACACCCACTGGGAACCTTTACTAGGCAATTTGCTTGGTCTTGAGCATAATGAATACATGCGTTCGATGTTTTGGAGAGGGGGCCAGTCTGGTATGCTGACGGCCAGTGAAGAGTTTATTCTGGCTCCTTTTACAGTTGGCCAGATGATGGCTTTGACCTCACAGCCTGCTCCCTGGCTGGTGCCACTCAGCACTGGGTGAGCGCTGTGGACGCCGCCATCAGATGTAAACCCGAGGAACCTCATTTGTCTCTGTCAGGCTGCCCCTGTAATATATAAACTAATGCCAGCAAGAACCTATCCATGTCCCTGTCCATGTCTCTGTCCCTGTCCCCAATCCTGCTGCTTCAGGAGTGGGCACCTCATCACTGGCTGGTAGGCTCCTGGCTGCCTGGGATGAGGAAATCTTAGGGGCACGTCCAGCTCCTTCTTTGCCTTCCGGTTGGGGTGCATGCAAACCTCCCAGCAAAATGCCTCTGCTTTCTATGCGGTGGTGGGTTGCTGAGGACCACACAGGTGGTTTCTTTCTTGCTCTCTCATCTCAGCATGCCAGGGGGAGGGACGGGAAGCCTGTGAAGCCCTTGTTGCATAGAGCAGGAATATCTTCAATTTCGTTGGTTCCTTCGGAATTGCTGGCCTAAATTGCTGCATCAACCACACTTCTTAAGAGGAGAGTTTTCTTTTCTTTGCATGCTCATCAGTGCACAGTATTGTTAGGCTTTTATATCTGCAGAATTAACAATGTAAAATGGTATATCATTGCATTTCCCAATCCTTTTCTCCACTTTTTAAATAAAATCAGGAGAATAGATGCCTCAACCTGCCAAAATGGTCTCCTTGTGTGCTGCTTTGTCTTCTTCAGAGTGGAAAGGTAGAGCACTGGCTACCAGTTATGTTGATCAGCTATGTGAGTCTTTGTTCTGTACCTGGATGCTTGAGATACCTCTTCTAAGCTTGAAGAATTTTCCATACTATGTGCCTGTCTGCCTAGATAGAAACCAGAAACTCCCTTTCCCAGGCTCCCCAAAGAACTAGAATTGAGGTCAGCCTGACAATCTGTCAATCAGACATGGCAATGTACAAACATACTTGGCACAGCAGGAATCAGCTGCCGTGTGGGCTCCAGTCTGAAGGGGAGTAAAGGGACATCCAGCTTCTGGGGGCCATGGTGACGGAGCTGTCTGGTAGCCATGGTAGCTGACATGAGTGTGTTTGCCCTGGAGTGGTCTAGAGGTATGTTTGTTGGTTATTCCAGAATGCAAGCCTGTCTCTCCACTCTCTGGGCTGTGCTCTGATCCATCCTTTACATGATGCCTCTGTTGCTTACACTTCCAGAGTAAATGCTCCTTGTGACCAAGAGATCCATTATCACTCTGTCTGTGAGTGCCTCACATGCCTGGCTTTACCCTCTCACAAGCACCCCACAAAGTAGACATCATTGTCCCTGTTTTAGAGATGAGGGCACCCAGACAAGGCACGGGCCAGGGAGAAGTGTGGCAAGTTTTACCCCAGAGCTGGCTGACTGCAGACGCACCCTGCTCTGCCCACCGCTAGCTGCTGCCTGCACATCACATGCTTATTTTTTTCCTTCTTCATGGCCCTTGTCATAGCCTGGGGTTTTTATTCATTTCCTATCACATCCAACTAGCCTCTCAGTTACATAAAGAGCAAAAATCTCTTCTTGTGCACCACTGTCATGTCTGGCCCTACTCAAACACACTAGGCAATCAGTGAATATTGGCTGGATGAATCAATGAACCTGATGTAGCCACCATGGATATTTTTTGGGAGAGACAATCCTCCTGCCACTTCTGAGCTCAAAAACACTTGGCACCATTCTTGTCTTTGTTCTTTCATTCGATAGCCACACATTGAGACATCTCAGGGCTCCTAGAACCTAAAGCCTGCTTTTCCTATATTCTGTATACCTTAGAAATCCTTTCAGTGTGCTGCAAGGCCTGTTCTCCGCACCTGCATCCCACAGCCAGGAAAGTTCCAGAGTCCCTTGGGCCAAACTATAGGCCCATGGCAGGGCTGGACAGAAGTAGGGCTGCAGAGGTCCTCGCGGGTAAGGTGTGCCCCCTCCATGCCGCTATTCCTCACAGCCCTCGGGCGCACCAGTCTCCACCCTCATTGGGGACGAGTTACAGAGCCAGGCTCTCCTCAGCTTTCCACCTATGAGAGGCTGGTGACCGGGTCACCTCTGTGAACACTTGTCACTGGACAGCCACTCTATGTCTAATCATTGGCTTGAGCTCAGATTTCTTGCCCTTGTAACCTTTCCCATAAATTCTCCATACTGTGTTTTCTAGGGCTAGGGTTTCATGACCACTGGCTTGCAAGTAAATCAAAACCAAAGCTAATAGCTTTGGGCCCAGGCCCTCCTTTAACCAATTCCTTGGAGATGGTTATTTTGAGTTGTCTCTTCTCTCTTTCCCTCTTGTTATCTCTCACTAACTCTCAAGGTCCAGAGCAGAAAAAGAATTAATTTACTGATTCCCAGAATAAGCCAAATTGTAAGACCCTGCTCTGATTCCCTCTTCTTAAATCCACTCACACAATTAAATCATGAAACTGGAGCAAATTTAATGGATAGAGAGAACTCAAGGGAAAGGACACTGCGAAAGGCAAAGGCGTGTGACTGAATCTGTTGATACTTTAGCTTTCCTTAAACTGTCACGTGGGGCAGCATGGACTTCTCTTGTCTCTGGGGGATAAGTTTGGTCCAGTATCTTTAGTGGCTGCCTGAAATGTGAATAATACCAATATATATGTCTTTTCCTATACAAACATGCTCATGAGTATGTTTAACTTACAAGTTAGGTACAATAAGAGATTGGCAGCAATAACAAATAATAAAATAAAAAGTTATAGCAATAGACTAATAAAAGTGTTACTTTCACCTTTTTACCCGAAAGAAGCCTTGCGTGGCTTCTTTTTGGCACCTCCAAATCACTAACATCACCACTCTCATGATTCAGAGCCTTTGTTAAGTAGAATTAGCTTTGTGCTGCCACCTCAGCTAAACGATAACCAAGAGGGTGTGTGTGTTATGGCACACAGCGGGTGCCCACAGGGATGCTGTACAGAGCAACGATTCACACTGATAGGGGGAGGGGTGGCTGGAGATTTCATCATGCTACCCAAGCCGGTGCAATGTAAAACTCTTGTTTTTTCTGTTTAAAATTTTCAGTCTGAAATTGACCCCAAATCTCTGACAATGAGGAAAGCGAAACCTTGGATAAGGGGGCTGTTGTAGTCAGAGGTTGTACACAGAGAACAATTCAGGTTAGGACATGGAGTTTATAATATTTTTATAATGGTCACCGGAAGTTAACACAGGAGAATGCAGGAAATCTATCCGCAACACCAACGACATAGATTATTTTTCAAGAGTCTAAACCCCACGGCAGTGTCCCACATGAGTCCAGATAAAAACCCAGAGCTCAGGACAACGCCTCCACGAGTCCAATTGGAAGTCCAGAGCCCACAAGAAGGACTCACGCCAGTCTCTTTTACGGATCCATGCCGGGAAGACCCAAGGGTCAGCGGTGGAAGCCAGAAAGTCCATGCCAGCAGGATGAAGGAGCTGTACTGGTGGGATGAGGGTTCTACACTGGAGCCCAGAAGTCACACTCACAACAAAGAGCGGGGCTGTCCTGAAAGGCACCACAGCTGTCCTTTTCGACACGGAGGTCCCGAGCTCCTCCTCCGACAAGCTCAGTCGGGTACGTGCCAGGAAGCAGTGTGACGAGTTCATCCTAGAGACCAGGCAGCACACGTCTTCCCCTCCAGAGCCAGGAAGCAATGCTCGATGTGAAGACCAAAGCTTCTCCAGGAGAACCAACAGCTCAGACAGCAAGCAACTCATAGGAGAACCCACAATGTCTCCTTAACAGCTCAACCCTCAATACCTCCCTTCTTCTCCACCTATTTATCCTGGCAACCCTCCTCAGGTGGAGCATCTTCTCTCAATGCATGCTGATGTAATCCAGCTGGCGTTAAGTTGACCACTAGTTATCAAACCATAACAGAGGCCTTGATGTGGTCCCTGATGGGGCCAAAGACTTGCAGAATTATCCAAGTTTGATTTGAATCCCTGTTTTACTCCATGTGTTGGCTGCATGACCTGGGCGAGTTCCCCAAGCTTAATCTCTGTAAGAATCAATTTTCTCATTTGTAAACAACTCTTATGGGGTGTAACGCAGTTTAGAGATAATGCATGTAAATCACTCACACAGCCAAGCTGGAGCAGGGCCTTACTCTAGAGCCTGCCGTTCCCAACTCACCGCCCTGCCAGTGTACACACAGCACACATACACACACACACACAGAGGCACTGATGCACGCATACACCACTACATTACAGAAACATACACACATGCCCTCTACACAGTGCACACACACAGATACCACACCCACACATATCACATACACACAAATGCTCACACATATCATACCACATACATGTACACACACACCATACCACGCATGAGCATGTACACACTTACACACACATATACACATTGTAGGCTCCTTCTCATCCACTCAGCTACCCAGTGAAATAAGAGAAAAATCTGTTACAACTTGGAGACCCATTTGGTTTCATTGGGGAACAAAAAGGATGCAATTTGACAATTCTACCTAAAAGGTTCAAGGAGGTAAACAGGGAAAATTATGAAATTGTAATCAAGAGACAAGTTTTTAAAAAAGACTAACAAAAACCCCTCCACCAATTTCTCAGACTAGGATTGGAAGTTCCATTAAATCCAGCTCTTCCCCTCCTGGGTATTTTCCCAGAAAACCTGATAAGGTCATGTCACAGTGACATATGTGTACCCAGGTTAATAGCATCACAATTTGTGATAGCTAAGTCTTGGAAACTACCAAAATGCCAATCAACTGCAGAGTGGATGAAAAAGATGTGGTATTTTTGGCCCCTTCTGGGAGAACATGGCGGCCAGATAGCAGCAGCTATGGAGGCTCTCTGAGAGACCCAGCTTAGAATCCAGGAATGGTGTGGCATGAGGAATCCTAAGCAAGAGGAGATATAGCCTGCTGACCCAAGAACGAACTGGGCTGAGAGAAACCAACTGGGAATGCAATCCTGGTGCTATAACAGGAACAGATAAAGCCTCAATGTGGAAGCTGGAGCCTGCGCCATTGGAAGCCGCGATTTGGGTTTCCTGCCACCACTGCTGCGTCTGAATCGGCTCGGCAGGGAGAGAGATGCAAGAAAGCTCTGAGAACAAGAATCGGTGAATGGAGTTGAGAGCGGAATGGGCAGGGAGCCATGCATCGACCTGTGGTGAGTGAGGGAAACTGGGACTCTTTCACGGTCTGGGAGTCTCCAACAGAGGACATTCTGGGATCGGGCAGACTTGCTGGAACAGGGTGCTGTAGTGCTTCACTCACATATCCCCCTCTCAAGTGTGATTGGTGAGCAGTGCCTAGCCTACGTGACGCTCCTGGCTGAGACCCAGTAGGCTAGCACAACCCAGATCCCAGCACCTGAAGGTGCACGCTAGCGGTGAGGCCTTTCGGTAGGTTGACCTGGAGGGGCGGACCCCACATAGGCTGCCCAGTCTGTAACTCCCAAAAAAAGTAATAAGATTGGATGATAGGAACAGCTATTTTGGAGAAAATGACGTCATAATAGGTAATGCTGATTTAGTATCATCTTGTTTTGAAGTCCCATCAAGCTTTTGTTCTTCTGTCTCCATAGGTCTTCACATGTTATATCTTATTGGATTTTATTATATGTGATAGTATAAACAAAAACTTTTATAGGCAAGGAGATTATACAGAAATCATTGTTCATTTTCTGTTAGTTGATTCTACATACCCTGTAATACTGTCATTCTCTTGAATGGTTTTACATTGTTTTGATATATTTGATGCTACAGTATATGAAGTTATACTCAAAGATTTCAAGGAAAGAGACAATATGGTAACTCCTTTATGTCGGGAATATCTTGTGGTGAAACACCATTTTGCTTAAATGATCATGTTTTGGATCTGCGCTGTTTTGTTGTTATGCCCTCTTTTATCTCAATCTCCATTTTATTATTTACTTTTTTATTTTTATCTTTTTAATTAAGGGAAAAATAAATTTAAAAATAGCAGGATATATTATAGTAACCCTCTTTGATTTTCTATTAACTTGATTTGAAGCCCTGTATTGCTCTCACCATCTTGTTTTGACTGATGTTCTTCTATTTTGTTTTGCTCAATAGTACCAGGTTCGAAAGTTTAGTCAACAGCTGTGAAGATAGTGGGATTCATTATGACACCCATTCTGGTTGACTATTATCTACTTTTGAAGACCTGTAATGTCCGCAATGTTTTGGTTTTGTTGGTTTCGTTCTTTACTGTTTTGTTCAATTTTATTATAACTGATGATATAGACAATTCTATTTGAGATAGCGGGAGGCATTATGGTAACCATTGTTGATCACCTTGTATTATGTTTTTACATTATCTATTAAGTCCACCCTTTTGATTTGACCAACTCTGTTCTTTTATGCCACATTTGGTTTTACTCTCTTCCAAAAAAAGTAATAAGAACTGTGGGAGTAATAAAACCCAAAATGTGTAATAGTCATTGTACAAAAGAGAGGAACAGAAAGTGCTCTAAATGATATAACTGCATGTATATTTAAGTGTATAAGATAGACAATGATATTACTGAGTTTTGTTGGATCACTGAACAGAACTGTTTGCAGTCTCACTGTTTGAATGTCCACTTTATATGCTTTAATTTTGTAACTTGAACAAATATTTCTAAGATGACAATATGTAATCCATTAACTAGTGATTTCCTGTTTATTTTTTTCTGAATTTCTGTATAACTTGTACCCTTTTTCTGCTTTTTTTTCTTTTTCTCCTTAAATAAAATTCAAAAAAAAAAAAAAGAAAAGAAAAAGATGCGGTATTTTTATACAATGAAATATTACTCAGTTATAAAAAGGATGATTTTGAGGCCTTCATAGGTAAATGGAGGCAACCTGAGACTATCCTCATAAGTGAAATAATAAGAAGCATATTTATGAATATCACATTGTATCTCTAGTGTAAAAAGTAATAAGAACTATAAGAGTAATAAGACCCAAAATGTGTAATAATTATTGTAAAAAAGAAAGGGAAAGAAAGTGCTCTAAAGGATATAACAGCATGTATGTTTAAGTGTGTAGGATTGATAACCATATTACTAAGTTTTTGTTGTATGGTTGAACAGAACTGTTTGCAGTCTCACTGTTTGAACATCCACTTTTATGCTTTAATTTTGTAACTTGAACAACTATTTCTAAAATGATAATATGTAATTTATCAACTAGTAATTTTTTAGTGTTTGTTTTTTTGAAATTCTGTATTATTTCTACCTTTTTTTTTGTTTTGCTTTTTTTCTCTTTAAATAAAATTTTAAAAGAACCCCTCCACCTATCAACCTTATTATTTGGTCATAGTCCTGGCAAAAAGTCTTCAGAAGCAGCAGTCAAACTATTGCCTACACCTGCGAGGGTTCTGGGTGGTGGCCTGACTCCCCTTTCACGGGTAGCTTAAAGCTGGGTCTGTATGTCACCAGAAGGATAAACTCTGAGCCGTGACACTGCTTTACTGTTGTAGAGCGCGTGCTCTCCCTCAGCGTGCCTGCAATGTGTAGCACATGACTGCGCACTAGCAATTGGGATACATCTTAGTTGAGCAGACAGCCTTCTGCTTTTGCTAAGCCCCAGGAGCTTTGGCAAAAGAGAAACTAGTTTAGATTCACACTGACTCACGCTTTTAGACCCAACTCCCTAACCAGGCCATGAGAAAATTACATGTAACCTATTTAGAAAGTACACTGTGTGTTGCATGCAATGGTCTCAGGGTGCAGGAAAAACAAGCTCCCCTTTTCCAAGGGGGATTTTACTACCTGAGGACCTGTGGGTTCAGCACTTTAAATCTTCCCTCACAAATTCGTATGTATTGGATGCTATTATTTTCCCTTTCTACAGATGATAAATCCAAGTCAATGACCTGCTCAAGGTAGCACAGCTAATAAGTGGCAGAGTCAGATGCACAATTCAACCCCTGACCTGCTCCCATCTACACAATGATACAAGAGGCCAGTCAGCACAGGGATGCTGGTGCATCGCCATCAAAGGGCAAAGGCAAAGACACACTGTCCAGGGGAGAAGCTTTCCTCATAGACCAGCCGCTGTTTTCCATAAATAAAATTAACATTGACTTAATGCTCGTGTTGAGGAAATATACTTTTGTCTTAGACAAAGCAGTGAGAAAATTAGCTGAGAACCTCACTAGTAGGGAGGGCCCAGGATTGGGCTTGTATCTCTGCTGTTACTCTTGGTACTTAAAGTGATTCATTATTGGCATTTGGGATGGAAGAAGACTGTTTTACCCATGGCTGGATGTTTAGCACCCTCGGGGCTCCAAATGCCAATAGTGAGTCCCAGGTGCTGTGACTGTCCCCAAATCCTCCCTGTTCCAAATAGCCCCCACCCTGCTCATGAACCTAGGAGAGGGCATCTTGCTGAAGACTGAGGTGTTAGAGTCTAAAGAACATGGGCAGAGTCTGAGGGGACCACATTTTCTGTAAGGATGTAAAGAAGAGGAGGAGGAGGCTGCACTAAGGACCCCAACGAGGGAAATGCATAGAATGGTGGAGATGGAGAAAGGAGGAGAGACTGAGGCCTGAGAAACAGGACTTTGCCTGAAACTTCAGGTCTCAGAAGCCTCTACTGAATGGGTTAGAATAATTGTGTTAGTCAGGTTTCCATCACCATGACAAAATACCCTAGAAACTCAATTGAAAGGAAGAAAAATATACTTTGGCTTAGTTTTGGAAATTTCAGTCCATGGTTGGGTGTGGTGGAAGAAAACTTCAACTCATGGTGACCAAAGAAGCAGAGAAAGAGAAAGAGCCATAGAGGAAGGCGTGGGGACCAGGTATAGTCCTTAGGGTCACTCATGATCCATTCGCTTCAGCTAGATAGCCCTTGTTTCCATCACCTCACAATAATGCCATCAAATTATGATCTCATCAATGGGTGAATCCATTTGATAAAGGTAAAGCCCTCAGGATCCAGTCACTTCCCCAAAGTCCATCAGTTGATAACTAATTCTTTAGCACATGAGGTTTGGGGGACACTTCAAATCTAAACCATGGCAGTGGTGACCTTGGCTTTCCCCACCCTTTTGCCCTCTGAGGGAGAATTTGGTCTGCTAAGGGTGGACCTGCAGAAGGGAGAGTGGGTGAAAGACATTCTGAGAAAGGACCAGGTGCTTCTAAACTGTCTGGCCATGGGTGCAGCCAAGGAGGAACTGGAGTTAATTCCCTTCACCTTACGCCAGGTCACTTCCTCTGCTGTGGCCTGGAATACCCCTCTAGGAAAGTGGGATGCTGGCAATGTGTCTGTGACTGTGATGTGAGGGATTTTATGAGGGAGCTCCATTGAGGAGGCCATTTCCACAGGAAGTCATGCTTTCATGTCGAGTTATATGCTATACAATATGAGCTTATTAGGTTAATCCAAATGTTATACCTTATCTAATACATCCTGGGAAGGTGGACCATGCAGATGCTATGCACACCTGTGTCTTTTATTATGGACATTTTAAAGCAAGTCAGTGTTTCAGACAGAAGGCCACTGTGGGGTCCACACTGTATGTGAGTTGGTGGATGGACCCAGCTAAGCACACTGCTCCTGGGGCCACAGCAATGGACTGGCTCAGGGACCTGGACAGGTTGGACGCTCCCCACAGCCCACTGTCTAGTAGGAGTAAAGCAGCTCTCCCCTGGAGTGATGTCCCAGATGTGGAATCGGGGAGCGTGTGTAAATTGTGGCCCTGTGGTCTGTGTTAGCACTTGAGATAGCTGACTTATAGAGAGAAAGAGTTTTCCTTTGGCTCACAGTTTTGAAGTTTCAATTCATGACCAGCTGATGCCACTGCTTTGAACAGTTCATTAGGAACATATGGTGGAGCAAAATTTCTCACTTTATAGCCAGGAAGAGTGCAGAGGAAGCCAAAACCCCGCTGACCCCTTGAAGAGTCTGCCCTTAATGACCTGAAGGGCTCCCAGTGGGTCCCAGCTCTTAAAGGTTCTGCCACCCTCCAGTGCCAATGCAGGGCTGCCCTAGAGGCCAAGCCTTTAACACATGGATTCTGAGGGACACTCAACATCTACAGTTACAGTAACATCTCATGGAGGTGTTCAGGGAAGTGGGGTCCCAGGGGTAGAGCAATAAGTCACTTTTCTGTTGTTGCTAGGACAACATACCTGGCACCCAAAGTTAAAGGAAGAAAGGTTAACTTAGGTCACAGTGTGCGGAGCTTTCAGTCCAAAATTAACTGGCTCCAGGGCAGAATGGCATGGCTGAGGGGCAACAGTTCCTGGTGGCTGAAGACACAGGAGCACCACGGGCAGAACGTGGGGAGAGCAAATCTCTTTTCCTCCCTTCTGTTTTAAGCAGGCTGCTTGCCCTCGGGTGGGTCCTCTTCACCCTAGGATGTAGAACCGCCGAGTCACTTAGATAAGCTCCTAAACTTCTCAAACTGACACAGTGTATCAGCCATGACAGTCCACCTCTTGTCAACTTGGCAGTACACACATTTCTTTAAACCAGTTTCCAGATACAAAGGCATGTTTATCCTTCTCCTTCACTACCTGAACACTGTAACGCAGCTTTAACAATTCTTAAGAATCAGTCTGTTAACATTATATTGCATTAGAACCCTAACAGGGATGAAATGTGATCTGGAGGAGCCAGCAGAAAGCACCATCTATAAGCTAAAAACTGCAAAGGCACTGGGCCCTGGCGTCTGCTCAAACACTGTGTGAGATGACAGTGGTAGCTAAGCCCAGGCGTAAACACCACACTTCCTTTCTCCTAAGTTCATGAAATGAAACTCCCCCAACCCCTGTCAAAAACAAACAAACAAAAACACAAAGGGCTTGGAATCTAGGCTTTGTAGACTTGGATGCTTGCCTGAAACTCTGGGCTCATAGACAGGCAGATATCCCTACTGGGAAGGTGTAGACAGCATGCAGATAAAAGACCACCCAAACAATAGACGTAGGTGGGCAAGGTGACCCTGGAGACAGGAATAAGTGTTTGGAGTGGCTGCATCAGCCTTTCCCTTCCCTATTCCAGACCCCTCCTTCAAACTGGAGTCCGTAAGTCAGTTCTTTTGTTATAGGCAGCTGAGTTAGTTAGAAATATTGCAGGCAGTGAGACAGGACTAGGTCCTGGAAGGAGCCAGTGCAGAAGCCCAGATACCTTGCAACTGTGGGAGACAGACACCTCTTGCTCTGGGCCAGACAGAAGACAGAAGATCGAACAAATGCACCTGCATCCTAAGGACTGATATTCTAAACAGCTCCCTGTCACCCTGAGGAAGTTAGGAGCCACCATCCAATCCGCTATGGGAAGAGTCAGCTGTCTAAGAATGCCCGCTTTCTACACGACTCATTTTCCCCCTTGTCCCCAATGCAATTAGTTTTACCTAAACAATTGATCTTATTGGTTAACCACAGTTCTGTCCCACCTTATGTCCATCTGTCTTGCCAGTTCCCAGTTTTCCCCACCTTCAACCTATCTCACCGCATGATTTTACTCTATGAAAGTCTCTAAAAAAGACAGTCTTTGGCAACCTGCTCGGGACCCCTTCTGTCCCTCAGACAGAAGCTTTCTTTCTCTCAATAAATATATTCTGTTCTTAACCTCCATTGTTCATAAAATTCATTCTCTGATTTTAGAGAACACAAACTCATACTGTACATAGTAGTTGGGAGTTTCATTCTGCTGTCACTTACATCCAACCTAACTGATGTGCAGGCTTAACATGGTCTGAGTGTGTTATCACCCAAGTGTCCTGAGCTTCGCGGGTGACCGTGGTGGTCTAGAGTCTCACAGCTTGCATTGCCTTCTGTTTGCTGAGCACTCTCCAACTTCCATCCCAAGCGTTCGTGTACTTGACCTCACTGGAGCCCACAGGATGTCTCAGACAACACCGCCACTGTGAAACCTCTGATACCCGTCCTGTCCTTACTCACTTGGAACCATCCCCATGTGGCAGATGGCGGTTCCGCACAGTCATCCTCAACTCTCCTCTCGCACACACCACACTTAACGC